TGTGGAAATAAATATAGCAAACTACTAAACCTTGGTTTTTCAACATGAAGTTTGGTAATACGGAGACGTCCATGATTAATAGAATGACTCTGGGCCATACGTTTGTATTTTGCCATCTTGCCAAACTCAATACAATAAATAATCCTAGGTGTGACTGCGGGTGTGATGAGGGAAATGTTGATAACATTGTGTTTTCCTGTCCTCTGTTCCGTAGATCCTTACTTTTTAAATACTTATCATCCCTTCATAAACCATTTCCAACAAATAAAGCTACATTTCTACATAGCAACGACCTATCTGTGTATAAATGTATTATAACTTTCCTTTTGCTCAATAATATAAAACTTTAAATGTAAATATATAAAATTGCCTATATATTTTTTTTTACAATCTCCCAAATTTCGTAATATTTCCGATTCCTTTTTTTATATAATGTTTCCTTAATTTTTTACTTGACATCAGCTGTACGCACAAGCGGTGCATGCCATAAAAAAAGAAAAAAGAAAGATGAAGCAGTTAGTCAGTGAAGCATTACTTAATATTTTTTTACAGTACATGTGCTTTTACGTGAAAATAACTATAAGAAGCCTTAATTCAAAACCAAGTTTTGAGACACATTTCTTTATTGCGAAATATTGGCGAAATGTGTTCTTTCTCTTTGTAAAGTGATTGTTTTGAAATCCAACTTTCTAGTAGGGCGTTGTGGGTTGTGATGTTATATTTTTCTCCACTGCCCTCTACAATCTACCTCAGAGTGCAGGGGAAGCAATGAAAGAAAATCAAGGAATTAAAATAATGTTATATTTATATTTTACCAACTATAGATTCTAAAGAAGATGAATACAGTAATTTTAAGTTATAGTTTATATATATCACCAAGTTGACATGAAATGTTATAACTATATTTTAATAACTATAAATATCATAACGAAGCTGAATACAGTAGTTTTAAAGTGAGAGTTTATATAAATCACCAAGTTGGCATGAATCTTAGAATTATATAAACATCAGACATTCATAACAATCTACCATGTACTTACATGAGTTCTTAAACTATATCTAATATATTTTACCTACTCTGCAATGGACTGTCAATTGAGAGACCACTAAAACTAGACTTTTCCAGATAATAAGCTATTTAGTGGATTTCAGAGGTTCTACGGCTCGTTTGATCGATATTGGTGATATTCTAAGTTAATTCTAGTTCTCAGTGAGACAACCAGTTATATAAATATACTAGCTGACCCAGCGAACTTCGTACCGCCCTAAAAAAATAGGGGTTGTGAAAATTGTGAATCTAAACCATTCTCAGATCCCCTTGAACACACACAAAAAATTTCATCAAAATCGGTCCAGTCGTTTAAGAGAAGTTCAGTGACATACACACTCACAGAAGAATTATATATATAAAGATATATAGAAATGGGTAGGTCGGGGTCCAACCTCGCCTTGTGATACCTGCTCCACGCTCACCCAGGGTTAGTTAGAGAAATACCTTGTTTAGGATAGGTTTAGGAGTGTATGATCTGTCCGCAGTTACGGCCGGGTTACATGAGACTGGAGAGTGGCTTGCAACCTTTATTGTAATAATCTCACGCGTCCCCTCTGGTCCGGGTACAGAGAGAGAATCTCCTTGTTATTAGCTTGTTCTTCCTCCAGTACTTCTTGAGGAGAACGGATAAGCCTGAAGTTCACATTGGAAAAATCGGTCAGATATTGGGAAAATACATAGATTACTACATCTGCATCACTAGCGGGTAGAGTGAGGGATATTCACGGTTAATGTTTACATTTTTGAATCACTACATGACTGGGAGGTCCATCTTATTGAGTTGAAGGAAATCAATTTCATGTTCACTAACTTGACAAGAATGACTAGGTATATCGGATGACAATAATCACCATATCAGGCATAATGAAAGGCCTGCATTTCAATTAGTGCTAGGAGAATAAATGTGATATCAGAGGTTGGGCTTACCGGTCGAGATGTAAAAAATTCCGTTACTTTGTTCCCCCTATCACAAGATACTGTCCAGCCTTCCAAGATTCCGGGACCATCTACCTACGATACGGAAGATCAACAGAAAGGTTATTTTTCATAGCCACAACTTGCAAAATAAGTAGGAAAAGAAGCTAAGACAAAATACCTGCGAGATTTTACCACCCCGAATTACAGTTCGGTTAGCGTCTCCGCGCTATTTCCGCCAATACCCTCCAGGATATAAACTTTTCGGATCTAATTCACCGACTCCGTAAAATGTAGGGTCCTCCTTATTATATACTTTGGACAGAAAACAAAACTAGGCATGCGTCCGATATATCAAAACGAATCCAAAATCCGATTTCAAACACAAATCGATACCGAACGATTTCTCAACAAGAAAATCCGATTTCAGAAATCTAACCGAACCAAAACGCTAGCGATCTAATACCATAAGTACCATAAGTATAGTATAGCTTTCGTTTTCGGAAGTCAGATTTCGTGCTCGGAAGTCCGATTTCGATTTGCTGTTTACGGAAATCTATTGCTCTTCTCTGAGGCGGGATTATTTATCACTGAAAAGATATGTCGTCTAAAAACATCAAAAGTCGAGCAACTTACATTTTTGGACGCTAACCTGAAGTAATTAGGTTTGATTTTGTAAATGGTTTGAAAAATAATAAAAACAAACAGAAAAACAAAAAAAAATACTAAAAAAATATGTAAAAAGAAATCATTGTATATAAGTCGATTTTTAAATGCGCCGCAAAAGTTTTACTCTTAACCGTAAACATAACTTTTCGGCTAGTCCTAAGCGAAAATCTACGAGTATTCTTGCTTCCTACAATTAATTGTTTGTGATTGTCGTTAGCTAATAAAACCAAATCATAACACAAACTAGTGAATTGGCTAAGTTTGGCACATCTGAAATCGGATATCTAAAAACGGATTTTAAAATCGATTTTGAAATCTGAAATCCGATAAATATCCGTTTGCGTTCAAAACCAAAAACGCCCATGTCTAAACAAAACTGAATGTGCCTCGATTAATTTCGAAAATTTTAAATGTTGTTTTGACAACTCAGCATAGAGAAAAGACCACCAACTCCCAAATATGTGTCTATGATTGTTATTCTCTCTCCAACTGAAGGCAAAGGTCACAGTCAAACAGACAGCCGCTGCATTCGAGACGAGATAACGAATAAACTCAAACTCGTATAACTATGCTCGCCGTAAGCGGAGGAAAAGAGAATACCTACCTACATCAGCGAGGAAATTCAAATTCGAGTAAAATTCAGAATCGAGTAACAAAACGCCCGATTGAGAACTCAAATCGATATGGGAAAAAATAATTCACAATTCAACAACTGTCAAACTCCATCCACTCATCCACACGCACCAACAGAGATTCACTGCCTTCTTTTCCATTTTTTTTTTCATAAGTCTCAAGTCGATTTTTTTGTGTCGAATGAAAAAAAGCAACTATTCCCTCAATGCTACCAACCCAATCAATGAAGTTTGACAGCTACGCCGACGTAAGCGGTTCGCTATCATAGACAAAACAGCTGTCCTACGTGTGTCAGTTATATAAGTGTCAGTGTCACGCCCCGTTCAAAAACAAACACTACAGGGTGAGGTCTTGAGAGAGCTTGTGGAGGTGAAAAGATGCGGTTCGTTTAAATATAATTCACAATATTGTTTCTGCCAAACATAACAAAATAGACAATGGAAACTGGGTACGCATTATATATGTTTAATCTGAACTTGAATAAGTTAACACTTAATAACTTTTTACTTTAAATTATTTTTTGTCAATTTTAAAAGACTTTGTATAACGCCTATTGCGTTACTATACAAAATCTTGATAGAGTCATGATTTAATTTAAGACGCATTTTGACTACAAGTGATAGTCTTTAGTATTATACTTAGAAAATTCATATTACTACAACTGGCACTAATTTGGTTGGTTTAGTAATACTTGGAACAAGTTCTGCATAGTTTGGGATAAAGTAATTGATGTAGAGTTGACTTTATTGCCGTTGTTGCCTGTCCATTTGTTAGGCTATGCTCCGGCGTCATCGGCCGATTGAACGAACCTCGAAGTGTATGAAATTTGGTCGGGTGCATCCGAAGACATACGCTTTTACGCCGCTGAATAAACTATGAAGAATTTTTGTTATGGTGTACCTCTGCGAAAGACGTAAGGCTCCTTTTCAATATGAAAATAAAGTAATGTGTATGACATAGGAAAGGAAAGTTTGTGCGAAAAATCGATTATTCTGCGCAGTCGGGGGTACCTACCTACTAGTAACAAATATATAACAATGCATAGATTTGATGTTAGGTACATAAAACAATAGTAACTGTTGTGTAATCTCCAACAAAATTTTCAATTCCTAAAACATAGAAATAGAATTGTAGAGGATCGAGCATGGATCGACGAATTTCGGGTTGGAAAATTATTTCTCCGAACTTTTATACTTAGAATCCAATTTAACTTTTCTGTAAAAAAGTGGCGTTTTGCTTGATTATTGTTTGTAATAAGTGTAGCAAGAGAGACGAGACATTTGCTCTCGTAATAATTTCATCCAATGCGTGCGTTCTTATAGCCATGGATTTTTTTCTACTTTGGGACCACTTATTATTTCCGAATCTAATAGGTTATGTTAGTGTTACGACCAAAACGCACGATCCCAGCGGAGCGGAGCGAGCGTACCGCGGCAGCGGCCGGTAAAGCGCCAGGGAAAGCTTTCCCTTTTTCCAGAATCCTACATTAAATTAAGTACATACGTACACTTTTTTGAGTTCAGCACAGTTTATTTTTTGATTCACTTTTCAGAAAATAAGAAATCCTATGGTAGTTTAACTTAAATGAATGTACAGACACAAAAAAATAAGAATTCCGCTTAAAGTGCCAATAATTATCATAGTCTACCCTAGTTTAGAATTACAAAAGATATTAATTTTACACAGATTTTATTTATAATAACAGTATTTGATTGTTCGTTATCGTTCACAGAATGCATAGCAGTGAACATAACTCGGATCGAAGTGCCTTCGTTGGTGGAGTTGGGGACACAGTCTGTGGTGCTGGACTGCGAGTTCAGTGCCGAGGCGACGACACCGGGTGCTGGTCTGGTCATGAAATGGTTCTTCAATGGCTCCGCCAACCTTATCTACCAGTGGATTCCGCCGATGCGACCGCAAGTGATTGGCCTCCTCAAGGGGAAGGTTGATCTGAATTTCAGGATATCCGGTAATTATTATAATTTAAGGGCTGGATTCACACCAGAAAGGCAGAGACCGGCAGCGACGCAGCGGGCAGTTTCTGTGTGATATAAATATTTTATCTACAACCATGCTTTACAACCTCTATTAAAGATTCTGAAACAGTTAGCTTATTGCCAACACTAAAACATCAATGAAAAAAATACATTATTACACTGAAACGGGTGCTATAATGTTTTTTTTTAAATAAATTCATAATATAACTCCTTCGCTTTTTAAATCCTTCCGCGCCAAGGGTATGTTCACCAGGCAGCCACAAATTTCACCGCTGGATGCGTGGCATTATGAATTACAAAAAAAAGAACATTCACGCGCGCTTCACTACCACAGTGCCGAAACTTTCCATGAATTTTAAGTTCTTAGAATGCAGATTTTTTTTAGAGGATTCATATCATAGGTGTAGATAAAGTCTAGTATGAAATTGCTATAATTAGGTATTAAAATATGAAATACTATTATGTGATACTATTATCACATAAACCCACATTCGTGTTTTAATACCTCTCATTATACAACAGTTGCATAAATAACTGTTACGTACACCCATGCTTTAAATCATAATTCAAATTATTTTTATCTTTCCAATAAAAAAAAATATTAAAATCGGACTCCTCTGTCAAAAGTTATGCGTGATCATACATTTAAAAAAAATATACGCGTCAAATTGATAACCTCCTCCGTTTTACGTCGGTTGAAAAACTAGTAACGCTTGAAAAGCTTCATCGCTGCGAGCGGGTGGCCACCCACCCCTGCTGTTTCGGTGTGAATCGGCGTTTAGAGGAAATAAAGAAAGGGATCTCAGATTACAATTTATTTTGAGTTGTTAAATTTTAGTAGTAGGTGAGTGAGTAGTAGTAGGCCGCATTCGAAAACGTCACTTATATTTGAGGAGGCGAACAAAACGGTATCGTAAACGCATCTGGTCAAACTACAATTTTTTACAGTCCAAAGGTCTCGGGCTCGTTGAACATAAATCTCAAATAATATTTAATCAAAACCACCTAAAACAGTGTTTAAATAATAACTAAATTTATAAATTAAAAACCATGCCAAAAGCTGACTGTAGGTATGCCATTTGGTTTTATACAGCTCCTGTATTTTTTTATTTTATCTAATTATACCGTTTTGTTCGCCAGCTCCTCATTTAATACTTGTAACAAATTATTATGTCCTTAGAATTTGCTTTAAGAACTGTATCTATAGAGAAAAGAAAAGCAAACAATGACTAATCGTTTTTCAGAAATAGGTAAAAGTTTTCCTCTTCGCTGGTATTGACTGTAGCTAAATAATATTTCTTAGCCATCTCGACATCAATAGAAAGTAGCTCATTTAGCAACCGAATTCGGTGATTGTCGTAGAGATAAATCATTAGCTCTCCTACCTGAACAGGGGGAAGTTTTTTTTTGCATCATCTACCCCATCGTGTGGGTTGAATACCTATTTAACGATATCCTTTAAAGTAACTTAGGGGTTCTTAAGATTAGTTTTCGATTTAAGGATCCGTTTGCGAGATATTGAACTTAAAAGTGCTAATTTTTGTTAGAGCAGGGCGTCCCTCCCCCCCTCTAAAAGCTAAACTATTGGCTCGATAATTTTGAAAACATTCATGATAATAGTACCTTTTATGAACATTTAAGGAAAAATATAACGGTTAAGATAGATTTGTTAGTTTAAGAGTAATGGTCGTTCAACTTTGGTTACAGAAAATTTATTACCTGTTAAAAACTCCTTAGAAGAAAACATCAATAGTGACATAGATAAAGTTATTATAGCGTAAAACTTTGCATTGCAACAAAATCTAAAAAACTATTTAAAACCATCACAATAAAATATCGTCAGTTCCACAACACTACCACGAGTTTCAACGGCAACGGCTTGTGAGTCGAGTTACGTTTTTATAAACTTGATAAAATCGGCGGTTATACCGCATCATCACCTTCTCAGGGGATGATCGTTTCAGATGAAGCTTGTAAGGCCCTTCTGGCCATAAACATAAACTACTGGTGTGTTTTAGTCAGTTAGAGTTTGACATTATTATCCTTGTAGCCGGCTGTAGAATAGGCTTGAGGATTTCACACTCGCCTTGGAGACAATAAAAATCGACGGTATTAATAGGTATTTAAAAACAAATTAATATTGAATTGATTTTAAGTTTGAGGCGCAATTTGACTTTGATTTAGGTATTTTAGTTGAGATACATAGATTGATATTAATTGGTTTTTCTTATTTCCGATAGTATGTATTAACTACAGGCAACTACGGAGCTCTACACTGCGCGTGGCACGACACGCACTTGACCGGTTTTTATCTTTCATAAGGAATATAAATTTTAATACCGACAATTTCGTTTTTACGTTTGTCAAGAATCTGTTCTTGATTAATTTCAACAACTCTTAAAGCGTTTGTAATTTGCGTTTTGTCATTTACTTGATGGTTTATCTATAGCTCGGTACTATATGTATACACCGTGAATTTTGAGTTAACTGAGAAACTGAAAAGTCATATAAATTAAAATAGTGAGAACAGTGTTATAAACAGTAAACGTTTAAATTACGAAGATCCTTAAAGTAGTTTTATTTGAATCAATTTATGACCACTGAATTTGCTAAGGTAGGCTAGGGTTTCATAATTTCCTAATTTCTGAGTTAAGATGGTGATTTATCGAAATAAAAGATTTTATCTAAAGAAATATAACCTTATACGTTGTCTGGATTCGCTAGTAAATTTTTTGGGTCTCTTTAAATTCACGGTATAAAAAATAAATAATTAAATATTTCCCACAGTCACACCAATTAGCATAGCCAAAAGTAAGCACTGTAAGGCCTGTGTTATGGGATGCTAGGGTTACGGATAGAATACATATACTGATACATATATAAGTATGTTTTATCTAGAAATATATATAAACAGTCATGACTAAACAAATGCTCGTGTTCATCATACTTACATTTGCCACCACCGGGACTTTGACACCACGCCTTGAGTAGACGACGTCATGACATACCCGGCGTACATACCAATCGGCCACGGAGGTCGTCATATATAGAACACAGTTATTAAAATTCGCAATATTATCGAGACTATTTTCTTTATTTATTTCTTTAAGGATTTCTCTGACTTTGTTACAGACATACCAATACAGGCCTACAGAGCCATAAAGATTTTGAAGCCAACCACAGATTTAAGCGGAAACTATACTTGTGTTGTTTCCACTTTCCTGAAAGAAGATCGGCAGACCAGGACAATGCTTGTTTATAGTAAGTCATATATTTTCCACTGCTTGCTGTGAAAAGGCTTATATATAAGCCTCACAAGAACTTGAAATGTGTTTATAAAGGAATAGGTTTATCATTTAGAAGAGTACGCTATAAAGTCTGGTTTGGCTATGTTAGTATTTCATTCGAATGGTGTATTTTCTAATATTATAATGCTATTCCATGGACTACCGAGTAATTTTTTGACTACAATGCTTCTGCCAAAGAACCTTTAGCAATATGGTTGAGTACAACAACGCGATATAATATTGGGAGCTAATGAACACAAATAAAACGATAGAATTGAATTTGTGTAGCTGTTTGTAAAGTGAGCAGCGGCGAGTAGGGGAGGCTGCTCGCCTGAAAATGGAAACAAATTGGACCGACTCGTCTTACTTACTAAAGTTCTTGATTATAATGTCTTTGTTGTTCGGACATACAGACTCGTAGGTACATAATAATATTTTGTGCTCAATTCTTATTTACTTATCTTATTTACTCACCTAGTAGAGGCTTAATGCCTCACGGCAGTGTATTCTGTACGTTGTTATTAGCGTAGTGCAAAAGTAACAAGCAGATTCTGATGACGTTTGCTAACTTTTAATGTCATGCACATGTTCCAGCAGTGCTATTCCGTAAGAACAAACTCATTTTTCACTTCGGAATTGAGAATTAGTACACGAATTTCAAATAATTTCAAATCACACTTAGACCAGGGTCGATAATTTTAAAAATGGTAAAAAGTGAAAAAAATATATAGTAGGATGAAACCCATTGGAAAAGGTAGAGAATATAACAAAAATGAAAGGAAAAATAAATTACGGGCGATCTGAGGTCGGGAAGGGGGATGGGGTGAGTTTTTAAGGGTAAAAAACGGTTAATCTCGATTTCCGGTGAAACTGCAAGTCCTATGAAAAAAAGTTAAATGGCAAAGTTGTAGGTAATAAAAAGATGTACAACTTTTGTATCGACACTTTTTTCATATTGCCTCAAAATATATGTGAAAAATTCGAAGAACCGAGTTTTTGGTTTTTTATTTTTATTTTTTTCAAAAAAAAATATTTTTTAACGAAATTTAGTGAAAAATCACCTTTGTGTCCCAAACATACAGTATTTTGTTTTATTCAAAGTATTCATTTTATCACCTTATTTTGAATTAATATCGAAAAAGCACCCTAATTTTCAATAGAAAATTCTCACGTCAAAATATCGGCTTTTTAAAAAAAAAATGGTATGTTTTTTGGTTGTTAAAATATCTACTTTTTGATGGTATAAAAAAGTATATACTACTATGGTAAATATTCTCAGAAACTGCAAATTAATAATGAAAAAAACTCGAGTCCGAAATTTTTTTTCGAATAATTATGTATAATTTTGAGCTATTTATTGAAATTTACACTTTTATTACTCGAAAAACGTAAGATTTCATGTTATATTGATAAACAAAAAAAGAACTAATCGAGATATACTACTGTAATTAACAACTAAATAAGTTCATAAAGTTAATATTTAGACATCTACAATATTTTAAGAAAGTTTTCGAATCTTTTTTAAATTATATGCGTAGTTAGCTATTTATTGCTTTTTTAAGATTACTTATATACCTAAGTGACCAACTTATTACAGAAAAAAAGAATTCAGCAGTCACATTTTTTAAATGAAATCCTTTTTAAATCCTATTTTTAATACTTACAACAACTATTTTTGCATGTTTTATGGATTTGTATTTTTTGTTTATGAATATAACATGAAATCTTACGTTTTTCGAATAATAAAAGTGTAAATTTTAATAAATAGCTCAAAATTATACATAATGAGTTTTTTTTATTATTAATTTCCAGTTTCTGAGAACATTTACCATAGTAGTGCATATTTTTTTTATACCATCAAAAAGTAGAGATTTCAACAAACAAAAATCAATTTCAATAACACAGCATCTTTTTTAAAAAAGCAGATATTTTGACGTGAGATTTTCGATTGAAAATTAGAGTGCTTTTTCGAAGGTGAAAAAATGAATAATTTAAATCAAAAAAATTACTGTATGTTTGGGACATACAAAGGTAAGTTTTCACTAAATTTCGTGAAAAAATAATTTTATTTGCAAAAAATAAATACCAAAAACTCGGTTATTCGAATTTTTCACATATATTTTGAGGTTATGTGAAAAAAGTGTCGATACAAAAGTTGTAGATCTTTTTATTACCTACAACTTTGCCATTTTTTTTTTCATAGGACTTGCAGTTTTACCGGTAATCGAATTAACCGTTTTTTACCTTTAAAAAGTCACCCCCTCCCCCTTCCCGACCTCAGATCGCCCGTAATTTATTTTTCCTTTCATTTTTGTTATATTCTCTACCTTTTTCAATGGGTTTCATCCTACTATAATTTTTTTTGGTCTCAAAAATTATCGACCCTGGAACTCGTAGATCCCGCAATGAAAAGTGAGTTTATTACAGAATAGCACTGCAGCATACGAATGATATATGACATAATTTGCAAAGGTACCAAGGATGTTTTCCCATCCACTCAAATGTTTGTTTTTATTTCACTTTGTTTGATTGTTTTGAAAATTTGTTTGCATGCATAAGGTGCGTGTGCTTACAAAATAGCTATGTAGAACGTTAGATAAAACAACAGATAAAAGAACAATTTCATTGAAGTTAATGCGGATCACGAAGCACTTTATAAGAATATTACAAAAAAGGTTTTTAATACTTTTTTATGCCTAAAAATAAGTTTAATGTATACTCCTGGACACATCCATCGGCCACCTAGCATTTTAAGTTTTGACCTATATGGTTTTGGCGAGCCCTAACTCAAAACAAATGTTACATTGAACAAAAGGTTTTTAAGCAATTTTGAAGCTGATTTACTAACCATATTTTTCGAGTGTTTTCAAAAAATATTGCTCACCCTAACGTAACTACAGACCGCTGAAACTTATTACAGCAAGTGGGCCGATAGATGTGTCCGGAAGTGTATTATGCTGCGTTTCCACCTAGTGCTCAGAGAGTTCCGAGTGAACAAAAATTTGTTTGCCAGTTCTCTCGTTCTGATGTTTCCATTTAGCGAGCGAGCGAATGTTTGCTCGTTCAGAACTGTTCTGAGCTTAAGTGGAAACGCAGCATAAGGTATCTTCAATTTCGTAGCAGCACCGATGTAAAACAGCAAGCGTGGGTATTGATATTAATGAGAGGTGGATGAAAGTAACATTCTCGGCAGTCTGTGAAGGAATTTTATATCATAATAATTACGTTATTTATAATACCTAGTTGAATATCAAGGTTTATTCTTAGAACTGCGTACATTCAAAAAGAGTTTGCAAACAGCTCTTCTGATTTTATATGTGTTGTTATTAGGAATAATTACACTGAGTTTCTTAAAAGGTTTGTTACTGAGATAAGGTCGGACAGTAGCTGATCAAAAGGTTTAAGTTTACAAAAATATGTAACTATTTGTAATTTCCCAAGAAGTTGTAGGCAACTGTGAGATTAAGGGATGTCTAAGTTTGGAGAATAGTTATTAGGCAAATACATGGCAACCTTGGCAAACAATAGACCCCGTCTTAAACTTCGCTGATACACTATTAATGTATAAGTTATTGAAATTTCATTTTCTCTATATGTGTACATTATCCTTATAAGCTATTTAACTTTTATGTATTTGTTATATTGCGGCTGTAAAATCCCCTTCAGTCGTCTACGAAACCGTAGTTTCGTAACTTGTTTCGATCAAGGAATTATTTTTCCTTGTACGTAACTAGCATTGGTGGAGGAATTATATGGATTCTTCTTTGTATAAAACCTCGGTTACGTATATTGCAAATTTTCAAAGAGGCACAAGTAATAGACGTGCATAAAAGTGGGACTCAAAGTCTAAAAACTACAAACTATCCCTTTGTAGAAAAAAATTGTTTTCTTTAGATTTGTAAACCTAGTAGATAAATAAAAATAAAAAAAAACGACGGGTTGCAGCACTCCGGGAGTGCCGGCAGAAGTGAAAACTTGAATATTAACGTTGTGCATTTTTGATATTTTGGAATGGTTAGGGAATAATTTTGCACGAATTGCTTTAATTATCAGTATAAAAGTACTATCATGTATGTGGTAGAATACAATAATTATTTATTGCGCTATCGTACACAAACATGACAATTTATATTACATTAAGATTACATGAATCACGTTTAAGCGCACTTAGCGACATCTATTGTAAAGAAATCAACTTACATGAATCACTTTTAAGCGCACCTAGCGACATCTATTGTAAAAAAATGGATTTTCTTCGCAATAAAGCTGCCACGTAGACGTCCTAGATAGAGACTTATTATTATAATACGATAAAATAAAATATTACTATGTTTCGTCCAATATATTGAAAGTCAACAACCTTTCCAATTTTATTGTGTGTCATGTTGCGATCAGCCCACGTGTTTAACCTGACGCCAGTTTAACATTTTTTACCCGTACAAAAAAAGTGTACAACGCCGCTAAAGAAGTTTTCACTTCAAAAATGCTATAAATATAATTAACCATTGTGTTATATTTTCAGGCACTGGCAAGAATTTTCACTTTTATCAAGAGAAAAAATATGTATTTCTAGTTACTTTCATATGCCGCGCAGAAGACTTATACCCGCGTCCTGAAATGACAATATTATCAAAAGGGTGAGTTGTATACAACAACATCCATAAATAATACCACTAATAATTGTTTTCTCGGATCTGAAGTAACATGAACGGTGGATTTGTTTGGCTGTGGATTTTCATTGCGAAATTGTATCGAAAATCCCATAAATAATACAGTGCCCTATCATCGCACCGTTCGGAAAATTTGAATAAATAATTTTGAGATTTTGCCTTTGCAAATATAGTCATTATTACTTTTGATTTCAATTCGACGTCTCAAAATTTGTTGTATTTCACTGACTTATTGAGAAAATCATTGTAGGTAAGTAACGCCCGCTTTCACCAAAGTTCTTAATTCAAATTAAGGCTTAATCGTGTTTAACACATCATACCATCGTTGTCAATGTTTTAAGTCAAATATATATATAGAATGAGGCTATTAGCAAAACTAAATAAAAATCATTATTCTGACGACGCATTCCTGCAAAGGCTGCGAAACGTCAATAAATAAATAAAGTCAGTGCATCTAACCCGTTGAAACTTGTTTTACTTAATGAGTGATGCGCGTGAAAACCTAAGAAACAAATTACTAATAGCTTCTTTAGAACTTTGGTGCAATTGGGCCTAAATATTTTAAGTTAAGGAGGACTTTTACAAAACCATTTTTACAGAGGCTATTTTCATCAAAACACATTTTTTTATTCATAGAAATTATATTCCCACCTGAATTATAGTCCAATGAAACGCCAATTTTAGGAGACGTCTAGTAACTTTTTGGCAAACGGCTGAAGTAATTTAAAGAATGGCTAGAAAAATGTTGGCATTACGGGCGCAGTTTACTAGAATCCGATTCATTCATTCATTCTGATTGGCTTTCAAAGAACGGCTCATATACGAAGGGTTTCGTACCATTATCTATACAATTAAAATAAATTAGTGTTTCTATTAGCTCCATATATGTACATACGTTCCTGTTCAACTGCAGAGAATGTTTGTGGGTCTTGGCTAGGGGTGGACGCTTTTTAAATAACGATGCGCGATGACGATGCCAAGTTTGGGCGCATCCGATGCGACTGGATGCCGATGCCATCTATGTATATTTTGTCAACGTTACTATACCAACTTTGCCACAAACTTATCTGTGCCGGTGGAGATGTCGCTAGCGGTGAACAAATAAGTCATAAAATGTCAAAATACAATGGATAAATGGTTGTTCAAATTTTTGCCACCGGCACAGAAAAGTTTGTGCCACTGGACTGCGTTCAAAACCTACGCTCTGAGTGCAATTTTTTATGTAAACCAGCATTAAATATTTTCATTTACCGTACCGAAAAGTAAATAAATAGTTGCGATTACATTTTCAAGTGATTATTCATCCACAAAAACACGCATCTGTCGTAATTTATATCGCATCGTATCCTGTGATACTACGAGACATTTACTTGGTATCAATGCGATGCCAGCATCGATGCGCGCATCCGATGCGACTTATCTGATACCGATGCGCATCGATTTCACATATATCTAAAAATGCCCATCTCTAGTTTTGGCAGTTTAGAGAGATATAGTCATCTTTTAAAAGCTATACGTAGTTATCGCTCAGCATGAGGTCACAAATTTATGCTGCCACCATTTTCACTTAATAACGTTTAAGTCTGCAATTTTAAAAATGTTGGCATTTATAGAATGGCTCTAGAAAGATTCCTATCTATCTATATATACAAAACTCAAAGGTGACTGACTGACATAGTGATCTATCAACGCACAGCCCAAACCACTGGACGGATCGGGCTGAAATTTGCCATGCAGGTAGATGTTATGACGTAGGCATCCGCTAAGAAAGGATTTTGATCAATTCTACCCCCAAGAGGACAAAATAGCGAATGAATGTTTGTATGAAACTTTGTCAATTTTAAACCGATCGGGCTGAGACTTTGCGTGCAGGTATAAGAAGAATCATAGATGAATGTCATTGTGTATAATACAAGCCTGAGAACAAAAACTGTAGTCTACACTTCAGCTCTACACCGAAGGGAAGCGAGGGCGGGCCGCTAGTTCAGTATTAGCCGAACCATTTAGGCCATTAGCGTATTCAATGGGCCTTCCTGATAGAAGAACCAAAGGGACTGGTTTGGGTATTACACCAGCTTAAATATTTCGATCAGCAACCTCAATAATTAAAAATGCCATAATGTGTTCGATTCTTCTTAATAAGAGTAATAGCAAGACGAAAAACTCAATTTATCACAAATTTTTACAATACCCATTTAAACCAAATCTGGGGTTTTCTTAATCACTAAAACCTATTTCACAATTCAATAATTTGAATACTAATAAAATTCAACTGTTTTTTTTTCTATTTTTTTAAACTATAAGATCTAGAGCGTTATTTAATACCTGCCTACTTACATTTCAAATAAATAAGTATTATAACTTTTCCTATTTAAAATTTCGCTTCGAGTACACTTGAACTTTGTACAATTACTTTGACGAAACATTTGTTCCAGAAAGCCTTTGAAGCAAGCCGTGACCGAAATGAGAATGGACTCTTGGGGCCTGTACACAGTAGAGAGCAAGGCGGTTGTACACGACGATGATGTGGACACGCCGTGGGAAGAATTCATGTGCCTCTTAAGCATTTCAGAAGCTAATTACACTGTTAATAAAACTACTATTTATTATCCTGGTAAGTTATTGTTTCATTGTACTAAAGACATGACCCAATAAGTATTGGTTTATGCTTAAAGTTACTTGTACTATTATATTTTCTGTGTTAAAGTCATAATGTTCTATGTTTGGTTGCACTAAGGACCACTGCGGCCGTCACCGGGACCTCAACGAGAACGAGAAAACGTTCAATTTATTGTATTTTATGTATGTTATGCGTATGTATATAATATATATTTATATGTGTATGTTTATGTATGGTAATATGAGTATTTGATATATGTGCATGAATTTGTATTAAAATATTATTAGTTTTATTGCTGTTATTATGTTAATTTTCATTTTATTTAATTTTAGCAACTTTGCACTATCGCCATGCTATTTGTCTCTAACACTGATACTGATTGACTGGTAGAGAATGCCTATGGCATTAAGTCCGCCGTTTGCTTATGTTTGGCAATGAAGTTTAAATATATAAAATTAAACGGCGACGAGGTAGGGACAAGGTAGGGACACATACATTTACCATAGCCGCTTGTCCAAAGCAAGCCCGTCACGTCATCTTGATCGCATTCAGAAATAAGCTCGTTCTCGGTGACAGTCCGCAGACGGTGGCTCGGCAGTGGACAAAAGGCCTGACAATGGTGCTTCTGCATATGTTGTTATTTATGTATAATTATTTTTAGTACAACATTATCACACTTGTGACGTAAATTGTTTAGTATTTACCATACTAAACAATTTACGTCACAAGTGTGATAACTTTTTTTTATTTTTTTTTGACCCGGAGAAATGCGTTACGCATACCCCGCCGCTGGGTAGGCGTCGGGGTTATGTGGGACTCCTCCCCCCACCTCCCGGCCCACCCACTCAGCCAACTCTAGGGCTGGCTAAGTGGCTGCTCGGGATGGGGGGGCCCTACCCACTAAAACTCCGGGATGTGCCCTCCTTGCCATCGGTGGCGGCATGGGATCCTTACTAGGAAAATACCACGCCGCCGCCGGCAAACAAATGTGATAACTTCCTGTAGGGTTATCATTATTTAATATTAGTCCAGCCCCTCTGCATGACCACCGAAACGGGATATGATAAAGCGATATACAGTGGAGTTTGACAGTAGTCTGCCAGCTAATGCCGATATATCGCTTTATCATATCCCGTTTCGGTGGTCATGCTATAGGGGCTGGAATAAGAGAGCGTCAAACGTGCAACGATATAAAAATATAGGGTAAATTTTATAAATTGCTCTTTTAATTCCTTTATTGTTGTCAAAAGTCAGTCTTTGTTTAACTTACCAATATTAATGACAGATTGATTATTATTCATCGTCTATAATACCAGTTTCCGGTACAAATCTGGCCGTTTTAGATGACTCAAGACATTAAGTCACACCGAAAGAAAAGTCTTATGTTTTCATTTATGGTAAAGGTTAATTCTTATAAGTATGTCAAATTTAAATCAAATCCATGCAGTCGCTTCAGCGTGATATTAAAAAAATATATTTTGCTTACATGGAAAACCAACAGCTTATCTTAATAAACTGAAAATGAATAATAGCGAGCCAATTACAGACATCTCTCATCTAGACATAACTTAACGTAAAAAAAACATTTGCACTGTCCAATCTAAAATTACTCTTAAATCTAGTTTTATAAATGAGGTCTTTATAATAAATATCAGAACAATAATTACGCACCAGTTAATTATAATCGCCAAAAAACAAACGAGCAATGATACGTCTAATCGTCGCCTCGCTAGTGTTAAAATATCTGAATTTACCTGTTTTGATGGTGAATTGAAAGCTGCTAATCGACATAGAAAAGCGTTCTGTCGATAATTTGAAGAAGTACTTAAAATGGGATTAATCCTATGCGGTTTAAGGGGAACCCCAAACAAGATCTTTGATAGGAGTTCCGTGCATTAAACTGCCCCAGAAGGAAGCGATCCCACTAAGGAAAACCAAATCCGCATTTTCGCGACGCATTTCTAAAGGGAGAAGATGATGCTTTCCGCAGAGTTTCCCCACCTGATTCAAAGCATAGATATCTAACAAACTTCCTCTGGATGCCTTCAATGCCAGATATATAGGTGGAATATCTAGGGTTTCCAGACCTGAGATGCATACTCCTACATCTATCAGGGTAACCGAAAATTAATATAATTATATAATTATTATAACCCAACCAACTTCTGCACGCTTAAACATCTGTGTTATTTTCAACGATATTAAATACCCTAGATACACCAACACGAACAAAATCATGCCCGAAACCTGTCCAAAAGGAACGTTGGACGATCCACGGAGCTCCGTAAGATAATCGCATAGTCTAAACAATATAAGTCATTATTTAAACATTAAAAATCACCTTTAAAGCTCACTGTATAAGATCTTAATCAAAGCGCATGCGTCAAAGAGTTAAGACAGTCCGAGATGTAAGCTCGTAAAATTTTACGACTTATTGTTATATGCGGAAGAATATAGACCTTATTTCTTTGACTCTACGCGCAATGCTGAATGGGCTGTTAGCAATACAGCAGCTACGGACCGCGAGGAAAAGAGACGGCTATATTACCGACCATGCATTTGAATATCACAAATATATTCTATTAAACCAGTTTATTTAACCAGCGATGATGAGGCCTAGGATGGTACACGCCTGCCTAGAAGATGCCTGTTCACTCTGGCCTTGAAGATGTCTAGATTATATTGGTCCGGGAAAACAGACCCCGGCAAGGAGTTCCACTCTATAGCCGTTCGCATAATGAAGGCCGAAGCAAATCGCTTCGTGCGGATGGGAGGAACTTCGACAACATAAGGGTGGAAGCTCTCGCCGCGCCTGGTCGTCCGGTGGTGGAAAGGGGAAGGGGAGATCAAATTCTGTAATGCCTCCGCACACTCTCCGAAATGTAACCGATAAAACACCGAGAGGCAAGCTACACGTCTTCGGTGGTCAAGACTCTGGAGATTAGCCTCAACGAGAGCGTCATTGCCTATGAGTCTTTTCGCACGGTGTTCTACCGAGTCCAGTGCATCCAGCTGATACCGAGCAGATCCGTCCCAAAGGTGACAACAGTACTCCAAGCAGGAGCGAACTTGGGCTCGGTAGAGGTTAAGGAGCTGCTCAGATGTAAAATATCGCCAGACCTTAGAAAGTATTCCAAGTTTTCTGGCAGCGGTTTTAGCAATGGACTCTATGTAGCGACCGAAATTGAGGCTGTATGAGATTCTGAGATAAGTATTCATTTCGCATTTTTTCACGGAGCTCAGCGGCATGTTGACTTTTCAACGGTCCGCCTGTGACTGTGAAACAGGAAGTGCTCGAGTCGTGTTCAAGCACTTCTTGATAGAGACACATTTTGAGCGCACATGGTGTATCTAGAGTATTTAATATCGTTGGTTATTTTAGACAATATGTAATTCCACAGAAACTTTTTCCGGGATAAAAAGTATCCCTTGTGTTATTCCGGGTACCTAAGTGACTATCTGAGTGCATGAAAATCCGTTTTGCAATTTTTGCGTTTACTTGCATAACACATATTATTTAGGATGGCTATTAAGTTTGGTCTCGACACCGGATACATGTAAGCAAGTATCATTAACATAAAGAATATGGGTGACCCCATTACAGTCATAGTTCTTGATTCATTAATTTTGGGATCAAAGGAATGTATATTAGATGTACCTACCGAAATACACATGCTTGCAAATATTGCTCTCATACTACTGTATTACGGTGTGGCAAAGCCGCAACCGTTCTCTTTATTTCCTCCTTATTCGACTCTTTTGGCCACCACTAATTTAAAAATCTTTCATATGTGGATTTTATTTTAAATTGAATTCAGTCAAGACTGTCAAAAAAAATTTCATTGTCAGTCCAGAGTCCAGCAATCCCGTAAGAAAATATTATCTATTTAGATTCGGTGCACTTTGAAATCTTTCAATATAATGTGATCTGAAGAATCCCAGGTGAGTTTTTATATTTATATCATAAAATATATACTTCCTATTTTAAGCTTATTGTTGGCGAGTTATTTTGTCGAACCCCCTCTACCGACGACTACCGTTGCAATAATAGTTACTTACATAGGTAATAAAGACGATATCAATGTGTACTCAGATGACAGAACAAAAGGCAGATGGAACGCACGGAACACGCAAGTGCGATTATCAAAGCAAATACGAAGTCAAAAGTAAATTCTTTTTTGTCCTTGTGGTCAGTTTTTACAATGTTTGAACAAGACGGTACAGTTTGATAAAAACTAAATATTCACGGTACGTATTCACTACACGATGCGTTGTAGAGTACTGACGCGAGTTGATATTCACTTTTGACTTGATATTTGCTTTGGTGGCACGCAATCTGTGTAACGTGCGCTTCATCTGCTTTTAATTCTGTAATCTGAGAATGTTTAATAAATCCACTGCCTTTGACGGTACGACATAATTAATAATTTAGTGAAATGGTTGGAGAAGTAAGGCCCGATTAGTTTGGGATTACAAAATTATGTTCGGAGACGTCATAATCACTAACAGGCTGTAATTATCAGCGTTCTGTACCCTTAGCATGAACCAATACCGAATTCGAATGGTTGAATTCAATCTGGATAAGCGTCAAATGCCAAGATTTGTGTATGGAAGATTTTTAAATCTCGTTCCGTCCGTTGTGGCACTGTTCAAATTTCCATACAAAAAACTTCTTGACATTTGACACGTATATCGCCTCGTGCGAAAATGATCAACTTTTATCGTTCAATTGCTTTTCCTCAATTTGATTGCTTCGATTTGATTAATAATCTGTTCAGACGGTTCAAATCGCATGTGATTTGGGAGTTGATCACCTAAAAACGCCTCGTGTGAACGCGGTATTATCGAGACCGAATTCAACTATAAACTAATTCGATATTGGTTCGTGCTAAGGGTACAGTTCTGTAAGGTCTTGAGGGTGATCCTGTGCGAAGTCGTTAAGATTTTATTAGCGATAGTTGTTTTACCTTTTGCACTGACGTAATCAGCGCGCAAATTGTTCAAGGCAATATATAAACCTTAAAAAAATGTACAGTTCTAGAGTTAAACAAAAAAAAACAAACAAAAAAACAAACTAGAAAGAACTTGGTGTGAGGAAGTTAGGCTACAATAGAAATGAAAAATATAGAATTTTCGTTTTCCCGTCCAGAATCATTGAGGTGTCTACGTCTTTTAGAATGCTATTTAAACCAATTTTTTCCTATTGCACTTTTGATGCTTTGCTCAGCGAATAAACACGGGGGGAATATATTGTATTTTTTAATGGTTCTAGTGTGTCAGTAATAATTGATGCAAAAATTGTTTATACTTTTTGAAATTCAATAGTACATCCGACGTAAAGGGCTTCCAGCCCAGAGAAGAAGAGAATTTAATATTTTTGTTTAGTGTCCGTGCGAAGAGTCTCCACCTAGTTTAAATATGAGCAGCAGGTTTTCAGTTCACCGATACACAAGTCACGAGTTTTTTTAACAGAACTTACTTATTTCCATGTCCTAGGTTTGATGCCAACTGCTTATGTCGGTGCCGTCGGAGTAGAGAAGCCACAGGAGCGCCAATCCAATGCAAATAGTGAGTAAACAACATTATGCGTACGACTTAGAAATACAGGCCCAATTCATAGTATTTGCTCATGTGCACCGGGAAATATACATCAGTCTAGTAGTCTTATACATAGCTTAGTCAACCTTACCCTGCAGGAAGGCTATAAGTTAAGATAAGTAACTTACACACCTACTTTTAACATTTGAACAAACATTTTACCTGAAATCAATCTTTGGCATGAGCACTATAAAGAAAAAATAACTGAACTCGGAACACAATTAAGATTATATCGTGTAGTTTGTCAACTATCCCTCCAATATTGGCATAGATACATTCATGATATTACGAAGCCAAAATCAATATCGACTAACAATTAAAACTTCAGCATTTAAGTTGTAGTTGAGAACCACGTATAATACCCGTAGTTCTATGTACCTTGTGTCATTTCAGTTTTGACTTTAGGAAACAAATAATTACACAATAAATTGTATAGTATGATATTGAAAGTTTACCTACCTACTCCAGATTCAATAGTTCTATTGCAGCAAAACTTCTATCGTACGGGTAAATTTATTTAGTTACAAGTTACAAGTATTATAAAGGTTATTTCTAGATAGTTACATAATTTTCCGTTACTTTGAATTTATTTTTGTATTTCTTCGTTATTGTTAATATATATATATCAAAATAATAGTAATTGGAAAAGTACACTAAATAGTGTCTATAGCAACTTAAGTTACCTAATCTGTGTCATTGTGTGACAACCATAAGGGTGTATGCTCTATGAATAAATCTTTTTTTGTCTGTGGCTAACGCTTGTAGTTTCATTAGGTTATGGGCCCAGTCCCGCATTCTTTTTTAGTAAAAGTAAATCGTTATAGTGTGTAAAATGGCTGGAAGTTATATCGTTAACGTACCGAAACTCAGGGGTCGTGAAAATTACGACGAGTGGGCGTTCGCGGCAGAAAACTTCTTAATTTTGGAAGGCGTCGACATCAAGCAAGAAGCCGAAGATGGCGGCAATGCAGTTAGCGTTATCGAGAATCAAAAAGCAAAAGCTAAATTGGTGATGACAATAGATTCGTCGTTATACGTGCATATAAAGAATGAAACAACTGCTTTGGGTGTATGGGAAAAACTCAAGTCATTATTCGACGACGTGGGTTTCACACGCAGGATTAGCTTGTTGAGAAATTTAATCTCAATACGCCTTGAAAACAGTGAGTCAATGACGGCATACGTTACTCAACTTATAGATACGGCACAAAAATTAAGAGGTACCGGCTTCGATATAAATGAAGAATGGATTGGATCGTTGCTTTTGGCAGGTTTGCCTGAGAAATATTCGCCAATGATAATTACGATCGAGCATTCTGGATTAGTCATTTCCGCTGACGTCATAAAAACTAAACTGTTGGACATGAGTGATAATGTTGCCAGTAGTGAATCGGAAAGTGCATTTTTAACATCTAAAGGTTGGCAGCGTCATAAAGTTCATAAAGGAAACAAAGTTGGTAAAACTGGAGAAACGTCATCTCGACCTGTCAAAATGATAAAATGCTACAGATGTAAACAAACCGGCCATTATAAAAACCAATGTTCACAAAATAAGGAAAAACAAGTGAATGCATTTAGTGCCGTATTTCTAAATGGCAGTTTTGTTAAACGTGAATGGTACATTGACTCTGGTGCCAGTAATCATATGATGATCAGCCAAGAAAACATAAAGAATGCAGCACATAACGTTACTACTAAGGAAATTATAGTTGCAAATAGAACAACTATGCCAGTGATATGCTCAGGAGATACACAGATAAGGACTATTGTGAACAACAAAGAATATGATATTGTTGTTAAAGATGTGTTATGTATTCCCGATCTTACCACAAACTTATTGTCTGTCAGTCAGCTGATAAAGCATGGTAACAAAGTCAGTTTTCAGCAAGAATGTTGTTACGTCAGGAATCAGCAGAATGAACTGATTGGCATAGCACAGTTAGTGAACGGCGTTTACAAGTTGAACACCAGGTCAGCATGTTTGTTTGCGGCTTCAGCTACAACAACCTCAGGTATGATATGGCACAGAAGACTTGGCCATATTAACAGCAAAGACATGAATGATATGAGAAATGGTGCTGTTGAAGGTTTGGAATTTGATAAAAAAGCAGAGATTAACAAGTTTAATTGTACAGTCTGCTGTGAAGGCAAACAAACCAGATTACCTTTTCCACACAGCAATCATAGGAGTGAACATATTCTTGAGAAGATACATGCAGATGTGTGTGGACCAATGGAAACAAGATCAATTGGTTTATCCAGATATTTTTTGCTTTTCGTGGATGATTACAGCAGAATGTCATTTGTTTATTTTTTAAAGAACAAAAGTGAAGTCTACTCCTGCTTTACAGAGTTCAAAGTCATGGTTGAGAAACAGATGAATCGTAGTATAAAAGTGTTACGAACAGATAATGGCACAGAATTTTGTTCAAACGCGATGGAAAAGTTTTTGAAACAAAGTGGCATAATTCATCAGCGAACTAACCCCTACACCCCGGAACAAAATGGGATGTGCGAAAGATTCAACCGCACCATCGTTGAACGAGCTAGATGCTTACTCTATGATGCAAGGTTCGAGAAGAAGTTTTGGGCAGAAGCAGTGCACACAGCAGTATATTTAAAAAATAGAACTATAGCTTCTGGGCTTAACCAAAAAACTCCCTATGAACTTTGGACTGGCTGCAAGTCAAATATTAGTCACATAAGAGTGTTTGGAAGCACAGTTATGGTTCACATTCCAAAAGAGAAAAGACTTAAATGGGATAAGAAAGCAGAAAAACATTACTTGGTTGGATATTCTGAAAATGTGAAAGGGTACAGGTTGTATAATCCCAAAACTAATAAGGTTATAACAAGTAGGGATGTCACCATCATTGAACAGGATAATTTAGATATGATGCAAGCTGAAATAAATGAAAATAATCAGTCTCCGTCTGATAAAGTAGACCAGCTTAAAGATCCTGGTGGCTCAGAATCTGAACTCTTAACTAGTACACTGAAGAGTAATAATAATGACAGTACCTACATAGAAGAAGAATCGAGTTCAGAGAATGATTCGTCAGATGAATTTTTTGACAGTGTACCAGCAAGAGAGTTAAAAAATTTAGAAAATATAAAACCAGATAAGGAAATTAGAGAAAGAAAAAAGCCTGACAGGTTTGGTTACAGCAATATATGTATTGAAACAGATACAATTCCATGTGGAGACCAGCTGATAACATTTGAAGAGGCTTTAAATGGGCAAGAATCAAAGGAATGGAAAAAAGCTATGCAGAAGGAATTGAAATCATTTGAAGAAAATGAAGCTTGGGAAGTGGTGGATAGACCTAAACAGGCTACAGTGGTTCAATGCAAGTGGGTATTTAAAAAAAATTGGACAGTGATGATCATGTGAGATATCGTGCGCGATTAGTTGCCAAAGGTTTTACGCAGAAAGCCGGAATAGACTATACAGAAACTTTCTCACCAGTGGTACGTCATTCAACAATAAGACTATTATTTGCATTGAGTGTTAAATATAATCTAGATATAACTCACCTAGATGTAATTACAGCATTTTTAAATGGTTTTTTAAAAGAAAATGTATATATGAGCTTACCTGATAATTTTGAATGTTGTGATAGGGAGAACAAGGTTTTAAAATTAAAAAGAGCCATCTATGGACTGAAACAGTCTGCTAGGGCATGGCATGATCGAGTAGATGATTGTTTACAGACTTTAGGTTATAAAAAGTCCATGTTAGAACCTTGTTTATTTATCAAGCAAACTAATACTGCCAGAACATATATAGCATTGTATGTCGATGATTTTTTTATTTTTTCTGATTGTAAAAAGGAAACTGAATGTCTTAAGAATGAGTTAAAAAGTAAATTTAAGTTGAAAGACTTGGGAGAAATTAGACAGTGCTTAGGAATGAGAGTTAGAAAAAATAATAATGAAATTTTTATAGATCAGGAAATATTTATAATTTTTATTATTTTTAAAGCATGTAACTGCTTGATGTTTAAATCTAAAGAAAATATAACTAGAAAAAAATCCACGCGGACCAGGCAGCAGACGGGACTCGAACCCGCACCCTTTGCAATCCGGGCGAATGCACTGACCAATTATGCTACCGCGGCCCTCACGGACCGCGTCGAAATTCTTTCTAGCTATTCTTAAGCTGCAAGGCAGCGCCATCTCTTCGCATTATAGGTAAACCCACAATGTCAAATGAATACTTTTACAAGTATTAAACATTTGAAAGAAGAAAATAGCAATTATAGTTATAATTTTTATTATTTTTAAAGCATGTAACTGCTTGATGTTTAAATCTAAAGAAAATATAACTAGAAAAAAATCCACGCGGACCAGGCAGCAGACGGGACTCGAACCCGCACCCTTCGCAATCCGGGCGAATGCACTGATCAATTATGCTACCGCGGCCCTCACGGACCGCGTCGAATTTCTTTCTAGCTATTCTTAAGCTGCAAGGCAGCGCCATCTCTTCGCATTATAGGTAAACCCACAATGTCAAATGAATACTTTTACAAGTATTAAACATTTGAAAGAAGAAAACATCAAGCAGTTACATGCTTTAAAAATAATAAAAATTATAACTATAATTGCTATTTTCTTCTTTCAAATGTTTAATACTTGTAAAAGTATTCATTTGACATTGTGGGTTTACCTATAATGCGAAGAGATGGCGCTGCCTTGCAGCTTAAGAATAGCTAGGAAGAATTTCGACGCGGTCCGTGAGGGCCGCGGTAGCATAATTGGTCAGTGCATTCGCCCGGATTGCGAAGGGTGCGGGTTCGAGTCCCGTCTGCTGCCTGGTCCGCGTGGATTTTTTTCTAGTTATATTTTCTTTAGATTTAAACATCAAGCAGTTACATGCTTTAAAAATAATAAAAATTATAACTATAATTGCTATTTTCTTCTTTCAAATGTTTAATACTTGTAAAAGTATTCATTTGACATTGTGGGTT